AAATAATATATTGTGATTCAACAAGTTTAATTAATATAATATTTATAATTAACCAATTTAATAAAAGAAAGGCATTGATTTTTTTCTTTCTAAAAAGGCAGAAAGCAATCCACGCAGTATATACAGTATATCTCGATAAGTTTGTTTTATAATAATAATAACCTAGTAACTTTTAAATAACAGTTTGTATGAATATCATAGTGTATCACGAATTATTACTACATGCATAATAAAGTCAAACAAGGCATTAAAAATAGCAAAAATATTAATTATATTATTTTCTTTCATAGCTTATTAATTAATTAATTAATTTTTTACATCAATGAAAAAATTTTTAAATTATAAACCGCTTTCTTTCGTTTGCTAAATTACGACCATCTAACCACAAATAATCAAGTGTTGTATTCTTGCAGAGTGAATCTGCTAGTGCTTTTCCTGTCGATTCTCCAAAATTGTTATATCGTAAATCCAAATTAGTTAATGTAGTATTCTTGCATAGTGCATCAGCTAGTGCTTTTCCTGCTGATTTCCCTATTTTGTTTTCACTAATATTTAAACTAACTAGTGTGGTATTCTTGCATAGTGCCTCGGCTAGTGCTTTTCCTGCTGATTCTCCTAAATTGTTGTCTCGTAAATTTAAACTAGTCAGTGAAGTATTCTTGCATAGTGCTTCTGTTAATGCTTTTCCTGATAATTCTCCAATTTTGTTTTTACTTATATCAAAATTGATTAGTGTGGTATTCTTGCATAGTGCTTCTGCTAGTGCCTTTCCTGCCGATTCTCCTATTTGGTTTTCACTTATATCTAAATTAGTTAATGTGGTATTTTTGCATAGTGCTTCTGCTAGTGCTTTTCCTGCCGATTCTCCTATTTGGTTTTTACTTATATCTAAATTAGTTAGTGTGGTATTCTTGCATAGTGCCTCGGCTAGCTCTTTTCCTGCTGATTCTCCTAAATTGTTTTTTCTTATATTTAAATTAGTTAATGTGATATTATTGCATAATTCGTTTGCCAATGCCTTTCCTGTCGACTCTTTAATATTTTGACCAGAAAAATTTAACTTATCTTTGTAGCTTAATAACAATTCGGCTTTCTTTGGATTGATTACTAGTAATCTTTTCCAGCAATAAGATAATAATGTAAAATTATCTAATTCATAACAAGCTTTTCCTAAAATAAACAATGTATCCGAATTATCCTGTTCAATCGAATCTGCTTGTTTGTGATAGTTTAACGATTCACTATATTGTTCAAGTTTGAAGTAAATGTTTCCACATGTCACTAATGCCAATAGATTGTCTGCCTCAAGCATTAGAGCTTGCTTAATATCTTCCAGTGCTTTCTGTAATTTATTAAAATGTTGATAAATTTGACTTCTATTTATGTAAGCCAATAACTTTTTAGGTTTTAATTCTATTGCATTTGAGTAATCCTCAAGCGCCTTTGAATAAAGTTTAAGATTTTCAGAGTGATATGCTCTTTTGCATCTAACCGAATAACTATGAGGATAGTTTTCTAGCGCACGCGTATACCACATTATTGCTTCTAAATGATTCTCTTCTTGTGAAGCTACAATTGCTTTGCGATATGCTGGATCTAAATTAATTGGTCGCATTTTAGAAAAATTTTTTTTTAACTTATTGAATCCAGACATTCTATAATAACGTAACTTATTTAATTTTAAGAAAGTTTCGTCTTTAAATTCAAGTGTGCAATTTGATGGCACATGATTTAATTCATATGAAGTATCAAAATAGCCTGCTTCTTCTAGCCGTTTGTAAAGACCTTTGAAAGTAGCATTTTGAGGAAGGTTGTATATAGATTCCTTGTTTATTAAATTTCGACATATTGGGCATTCAAATTCTCTGTTTTCAATTTGCAAGATTGATGTCCATTCATCAACTGCAAATTTGCTAATTGAATGTCCACAATCTAGAATATTGAAATCCCCTGTTATTTCTTTCATTATTGGACATGTTAATTCTTCTGCAATAAGATTCAATAATTCAGAATCTCCTTTTTTACTTTGATTATAAATCATGTTTTCCTTTCCCTTTTTAGATATAGATGGTTCGGTCACTACCTTGCAGAAATTATTATCCATCTTAATTTTTTGATTCACTTCGTTAGTTAACTTATCAAAACTCTTCTTATAAACTTCCTTTTGGTTTCTGAAAGAATCTATTCCGGCTTGAATTACTTCATTAAGTTGTTCCGGTTTTTTATATGATAAGTTAAATAACAACTCCAAAGCTTTATACTTTATAAAATTGCTAGAAAAGTTTTGCAAAGATTCGATACCTATATAGTAGCATAAGGCCAAAACAACTGACTGTGAAGTTTTATTGCTGATATCTTGCGCCAAATCAAGTACCCCGAATAATAATAAATTTGGTAAAGAAATAGACTTGTTGCCACTAATAAGATTAATGAATGCAGATTTATCATTCAAAATCTCATACCCATCCTGAGATAGTATAGAATATGCGTCAAATAAGTACTGCCAAATAATTTCTAAAAGCATTATTTCGCCATTTTCGCATAATATTTGATAGCTTTCATCTTTAGTTGATGTTACTAAAATATTATTGATCGTCAGTAGTTCACGCCAACTAATATACCAATCAGAAATAGAATATGAAAAGGCTGGCCTTTCTTCTTCAGTTGGATTTTGATCCAAAATTCTAGGCATAACTTTTGCAAGGAAATGTTGTGCTAATCTAATGAATTTTGAAGAAGGATATGTCTCGTTTCTCATATTATGCAAAGTATCCCTTATATGAATAATAAGAAAATTAATATTATAATTGATGTATGTGTCATTTGAATTAATAGTACCATAGCTAAAATTATTTTGAATAGATTTTGATATATCGTAATGGATCTCTGCAAATCTCATCAGTCCGTTGCACAGATCTTCTCGAAACTTTGCCCCAATATCAATTTTAGAGTAATAAATCCTTTCTAAAACTGCTATGTATGTTCTAAGGTGTAATTCCATAAGAGAACTTGTGCCTTCATCATAAAGTTTTCCAAGTGACGAAACATCGGATAGTTTCTCCAAAGCCCTCGTTAACAATTCTGAAGAAATCTTAACATTGTAATTTTCTGCAAAAGCCTTAAGGCCGCATAAATTCAAAGGCTTACTTAAATCTTCAATAAAAGTATTTGCTCGAGCTTTATAAAATTTTGTTTAAGATTTTTTAGTCATTTAAGTGAAATTATTTAACATAAAAATTCATTAATCATTAATAAATACCTATTAAACTTATTTCTTTTGTCCATGCAATTATCCGATTTCGGCCCTGTCTTTTAGCTTCATATAGAGCTTCATCAGAAATTTCAAATAATGCTTCAGAAGATTTTACTGATGAATTTAATTCTGTAACTCCGATACTAAGTGTAACCTTCAATTTCTTTTCTTTATAAATAAATGAATGCATTTCAACTGAGGCTCTAATCATTTCTGCAATTTCCAATGCCGGGTTAACACCAGTATTCCTAAGAAAAATACTAAATTCGTCTCCACCATGACGCACAAAAATATCTTCAGAACGAATACAAGTTTTAATCAAAGTAATTAACTCGCCCAACACATAATCGCCCGCTTCATGACCATTTTCGTCGTTGATTTTTTTAAAGTAATCTATATCGAAGAATATAAAGCTTGAATCTAAATCCTTTTTAATTGAATTATTGATTTTTTCTTCTAGAATTTTCTTTAAATAACCAATATTGTAAAGCTGAAATTTAGAATCCAAATTGATTTTATATTCATTAATGGGAAGAAATTTTAAAACAGTGTTTCCTAATTTAATTAAATCTTCCTTCACTAAAATGCTGGCGGCAAGATATTGAAGTTTATTATCATTAATAAAGACTCCAGTTAGTGTGCCCAAATCCGTTATAAAAACTTTTCCATTGCAGTTCGTAATCTTCGCATGTTTCCTAGAAACTTCTTGATCTTTTATAATAACATGATTAAAGGAATCTCTCCCTAAGTATATTTCGAATGGGCTAAGAAAAAACTCATGATTTCGAGGTGATCCCTGAATAACTATCAAGCAGGCCCAATCTTTCTCTGTTGACTTTAAATTATCTCCGGCATAAACTTCTGAAATGTAACAAGAATTTTTATATACATGTCTATAGTTAATATTCCCAAGATGTTGATCTGCCTCCTCAGCTAATAGTCGTTTTTCGGGAATCTCATTCCATGCATCGCAATAAATATCCTTATAATCTACTGGTGTTCCATCGATAGGGTTTTCTCTAGCTCCAGATATAAGTTTATGCTTTAAAACTGTATTGTTACATTCTGACATAAATGGAGGAACTCCGCTGGATATTTCCCACAATATGACTCCGAGACTATAAATATCTAATGGTTTGTCTTTTTTATAATTAATCGGTGACATAATAAGTTGTGGATCCATGTAAGCAACTATCTCATGATCAAAAAAAATTTCAAGTGTTCCAGGAGATTCGTATGATCTTTCAAGAAATATAGAGAAATCAAACCCCGTAATTATCGATTTACCATCATATATCATAATATTTTTAGAGTTCTAGTAAGTTCAATAGTTAGTAAAGAAGTAAATTAACATTCTATATAAATTAACAGATACTTACTAAATTACAATGAACGATATTTGCACGATGAATATAATTTAAGCCATTAGTGATATCCTTTGCCATTTTTATTTTAGTAGACCAACTTAATTCCATAAAATTTTGCTGCAAATGTGTTCTAAGATCTTTTCCGTACACGTGCTGAAGTACCATGTAATAAGATTTTAGCGAGGAATCTAGAAAATAAATGAATTAATGTAAACTCAGTCAATTACTATAAATATAAAATCGTAAAACAAAATATTCATAAAATGAATCATACCTTTACTGATTCCTAAAAATCTAATTATATTTTCATTGTTGACCGCGTTTAACTTGGTTAAAATTTGCACCTATTTTAGTAATTTAAGTAAATTTAATATGTACAATTAAAGGAAAGAAATAGTAATGAAGAATACCTCTCTGATAAAACTTCTATAGCGTTTTTCTTCACTTTTATGGCTATCATCATTTAAATATTTAAGAGCAACGTTCCTGTTGAATTCAATTTGATAAGCCTTTTTGATACCACTTAATGTTGTTACCAAAAAAGGCTCAACTTTTTTAAGCGAATCATAATTAAATTCTATTATGTGTCCATTGTCGATAGCATAATCGATCCTTGCACGACCCG